ATGGACTCAGTGGCAGTCAGCTGAGTTTTGAGAGCTGACCGTAATTGCATTCCTATTTCAGGGAATTCTCCATTCTTATGATTCCTAGAACCTGAGAGAACACCTGGATGGCTACTGGGCATGGCAGACCTGCATTCAAGATGCCCTGCATAAGAAAGTGAGGGCAATTTGAATATGCTGGACAGTCTGAGTAGAGGGCTGAAGAAGAGACAAGAGAGATGAGGGGAGATAGAAATAAGGCAGGAGAGGTGACAAGCAATCGTGTCACAGAGAAACACTATCTGCAGGCAGTTCTTCATGGCCCCAAATGAGCAATCCATTCACACATTGTGCTGCCACACCTAGTGCTATCTAGGGTTGAATGTCAAGGTACCATCTCCCCTGAGCTATACTGCAACTTGATCTTTAAGATGTCACCAAGTGTGCTATACACAACTGCCTTGTGTTGGGGATGCTTTGTGGAAATCAACAGAAAGGTTGAGGTGGCCAACAAGAAAGGGGAGAAGCTAAAGAAAAGGAGAGCAGTGTTCAGAAGCTAGAAAACTGGCCATGCCAGGCAAGCATTCAGAGGGCTCATGACCTAGGAACTCCGTTGACGTTCCCTATGGAGTGGCCCTTGGTACCATTCTAGCTTAATGATAAAGGAACAACCCAGCACCCCTCCACCTGTAGGTCTAGTGCACCAGAAGCTACTCCCTTGGTAGTTTAGAAACCAGCGGGGTCACTCAAACACAGATTAGAAGAGAGGTCTGGTGATCGATGTCTGAAAGTTTACCAGGGAAACCTTTACGGATCATAAGAGAATATTGCCTGACACAGCTAGAAAAGGAGCCCTCTGTCGTTGACAATCTAGTCGTAACAACCAGTGCTGGTGACGATGGAGCAAAGCCGGCGAGGCTCTGCTCAGTTTTAGGCAGGGCCACAGTGAATCAGAGCTAAGTGCGACTCACAGTGACATAAAGGGTCTGTCTGTGCAGCTAAAGGAGGTGTGGGCTACATGCTTGACAAGGAGGAGGGATCGGGGTTATTACTTTGACTAGCACTCTCCCATTTTAACAGAGCCCCAGAGCTACTTCACCTATGGCCTTAATAATGTAAGCACATCGATGGAGAAAAGGTAGACTCGGGATGATAAACATGGCGCTCACAACCACTAGATTTAGTGGAGGAAACTTACCTGGAGGGAGAAGGCCCGCAGAGCAGGGATGGGAATCAAGGCGGCCATAAAGAAAGCTGTGACGTTGCTGATAGACGTGAGGGCCACACTGGCTCCTGTGCGCTTGAGACATTCCCCGGTCCTGTCCTAAGAATGAAAAGCCACAGCGCTTAGACCTGCAAAGAGCAGGGTCCCTGCGGCGCACAACCGGAGGGAGGGACTCAAAAAGATGCAAGGAGACTAGGGGGGATGAGGACATTGTCCCCAAGCTTTCTTCTTTTGTTTTCCTGTTACCTCAAAAGGGATTCTTTTATTTTGTCCTGTTTCACTAAACGCGTGTGCCAGGAGGAAAACATCATCCACACCGACGCCGAGAGCAAGGAAGGGGAGAACCTGAGCGCAAACAGAGGACAGTAGCATTGGACGTGGGAGCCTCTTTTCATTAATCCTAGAGCCATCACTAACAGCGCCACCAGCACCCTTGGTGGCTTCCCCAAAACAACCTACAACATAATTTGGTAGTTGACCTAACGTCTAGTGGTTTCAATTTTCAGGAGGCCTTGCTCCTGCTAAGTTCCAAGGGTCAGGTACACCAATTTCCCAGAGCACCTAGGAGAAAGAACCTCGCTCATCTCACACAGTGTGTCTCAAGAGCACAGACCCAGGCTCCATGGAACTTGCTAGACCCGCAGCGCCTCAGACCCAGGCGCAGTCCAGTGGATTAGAAACACCAAGCGAGGCTGGGTCCCAGCAATTGGGTTTTAGAAGCCCCCCTGCTCTATGTGAACCATGGCTTTCACGAAGGGTGAAGCATTTCTGCTAAGAAACTAGCCCACCTGGACCTGTTCACTGCCCCCAATATAAGCAGCATCCCAACCTGAGACAACTGAAGGTGAAGACTTAATTTAAGTGCCTCTGGCTAAGGTGGATGGGTGCTTCGACAGAGCCCTGGAGAGGAAGGCGTTTGCAAACCAACAGTGGAGGAATGGTTCCTTCGGTACCTGAGTTGTTGCAGCGTTAAAGGAAATCCCGATCAATGAGCACAGGCCCAATCCTGCAGCGACTGACAGTGCAACCAACAGGACGCCAGCCAGCCCCACGGCACCCTGGGACTTGGAGCAGTCCCAGCGCAGCATGGTTAAACAGGCATAGGCAAGCTGCAAGCAGAACCATGGGGTGGGGGTTGGGGGGGGGAGGGGGAGGGAGAGAGGGTGGGGTGGAACATAAAACAAAAAGCCAAACATTAGAATGTGTAATGATTCTAATGTTTTCCCCCACCCCTCACCCCAACTCAAAAGTAGAGCTCAATGAACCCCACACTAACAAGAGTGTACACTACGGATGTCACACAAAATGATGGGCGAATCACAAATGGGAGGGGAAAAAAACGCTCCACAGGACCACTTTTGGAACCGTTATGAAGCTGACAAGCTCGTCTCAAATGCAAGTGTAGGTTAAGAGAAGTTAAAAAGCAAAGTCATCATGGGAAGGTAAAAAAAACTTAAAAAATAAAACTTAAAAAAAAAAAATCAAACCAGGGAAACAAACCAACCCAGGATGGGCAACTGTTTTTACCATGAGTAAGTAGCCGCTGGCCACCCGGATGACGCTGACGTCCGAGAAGGACTGGAGGATGTCATCCAGGGTGGTCGTGCTAAAGGAAAGCACCTTCTGAGAGGAGTTTTGAGGGACGCTCTGATGGACCACCTGTGATCACAATGAAAAGGTCAATTCCCCCACAGAACCAGGAAAGGCACGGACCTCAAGCCAAGAAGCTACCCCTCCAGCTGTTCATGATGCATGGGGGAAAAAAAGCAACACACTGGGTAGGGGGGTTGAACTTGGATTAACGGAAAATGACCCTGGGTCTAGGGCAATGAAGCCTATAGCTAATCAGTGAGAATGCGGTCGAGAGTGGGTCATTGCTGGTTCCTCCGACTGCTTTCTTTAATTAATGCTAAGGCTGCTAGTCTCTCCCTAAGTCTACTACTGTTTGGCTCTCCTCCATTCCAAAGAAACCCATTCTTACTGGCACTCCACGATAACACCCTCCCTCCCCCATTTACTGGTCACTTTTAAAAGGTCACACGCAGCTCCGTAGAGGTCACTGCTTTGGGAAACAAAGGCCAGCTCCTGTCACACAACCTAACCAGGGCCTGCAGCTGTGAACAGATGCTAGTCCCTGCTAATGTGCTCCGGACACCTTGTCTCCTTCGCTTTGTGTTTCGCAAACGCTGTTATGCCTTTGCTCTAAAGTTCACAATTGGCTACTAACCCATGTTTTACGGCAACTCAATTAGAATTAGTGTCTCTTGGACAGGTTTTCACATAAGCATTAGCCCAAGATTTCCATTTTCAAGGACAGGAAAACAAGGTTGAAAACACTCCATGAAGTCCCCAGAATTTTCCGTTTTGAAAATAAACTCCAATGGGGAAGCAAAGCAAAACAAAAAACAATGTTTTAAAAATACCATTAACGTGTAGCGTTTGCTAACTTAAGTGCCTACCGGGATTCCAGGTGTTAAGGATTTACCTCCACGTATGTCCTCTGCCAGGCTTCAAGGATGGTCGCAGCTTTGTCCTCATTCCAGTTGATGTGTGAGACGTACTCGTACCCCTTGAAGTGCTCGTACATTTGCTTCGGGGTCATTAACTGAAACATAGTCTGCAAGGCGTGGGCGCTGTGATGGGATTGGAGGGCAGGAAGGCACAGCATAAACATTCCCAGGAAGCAGTTTTCATGAAGGGGGTGGGCATATCTGCCCAGAGTATCCCACATCCTTCCTCCATCGCCCTCCACCACTCCCCTTTGCAACTCACTGTAAGAAATTCTTTTCGTCTATTTGAGCACATGTTTCCATTAAAATGGGGCCTGGATGGTGATTTTGTTTAATAGCCTGATGTACCATATTAAAGGTGTAACCTTACAAACCTCTTACAGATATACCCCAAAATTAAATTAATAGGCAATTTCCTTTCTCAGTTTTGATTCTGTGAAACAGGAAGGGTAGAAGAGTATATAGTTTGTCCGGCTATACCGGGGCGCAGTTAGGCACAGTTGCTTGTGCAGAAATCCCAGCCGATGGCTATTCTAAGGGAGATATCACAGGCTAAATGCTTGACATTGGCTCAGAGTGTCAACTCTTGCTTAGCAGTTAGGTCTTGGTCTCTCTCTGACAGAAGATGATTGTACTGGGCCCACGTAATTGAACTCTGGAAGGTAGGCTATGACTAATGGCCCTTGCCCACTTGACATCAAGCTTGCTTTTACATGTGCCCTGATTTTCTACACAACGGACCAATCTTTTAAAAGCCTGCTCAGTAACTTCAGTCTTGCTGAAACCTCAAATCCATCTTTAAAAATCTTCCCCACAAAGTGCTTTTGTTCCCCCCAAGCTGGTCTGGTCTTCCAATATTCTATTACACCAGGCTAGCTAGGACAACAGTTAAGTATTCATCCAAACACACTTGCAGATGTCAGAACGGAAGTGGTTTCGGGGAAAACGGGACAGTGGGAGCACCCAGATTTGCCTCTCTGTGTGTGATTACCTGACTAGCTTTCCAGAGCTGTTCTTGACGGTGCCACCCACAATCAGCTCCTCCTGCCAGTGCATGTACTTTCTGGAGAGTCCATGACACCCACCGTTCAAAACAAGGGCCACATCAAGAGGCTAAAATGAAAAGAGAGCCACATCATTACAGGAATTAGTAGGCAGGTCACAATGCCTTGTTAAAATCCAGTACATTAAGGACTTGTTTGTTAGACAGAGAACATTAATAACCAGACTAATGAGAGGCGTATGGCAAATCCTGCAGCAAAATTTAGATCAAGATACAAACTGAGTTCCATAAACAAAAAAGCCGTTGAGAGGAAAATCTTAAAAGTGGAAATATTAAAGAGAACTAAACATGGGTTTAAAGGAGGAGGGGGTAGAGAAGGAAAGACGCTCCCCTCTTGGTCTCTTCTGAAAGGAATCCATGATTGTTACTTACTCTGGTAGAATTCTTGTTGGGGGCCGTGGCAGGGCAGTCTGGATCAGCAGGATTGAGGCAGGGGCGGTCCATATAACCATGACCAACTTCAGCCTTATTCAGCATTTCCTCCCAGCTGTCCACTTGGTAATTTATTTTCTTTAACTCTTCTAGGAATTCCAAAGGGTCAAAGTTGGTCCACCGCAACGGAGGCTTACCTCTGCAAAAGAAATTGAGACGGAAACAATGACAAACAGCTTCCAAGCTCTTACTAAAATAAAAGCCTGCATCTCTATCTGTATCACATGAGGTGTGCTGGTAATATGTTAATTCTGGAACACTAGCATAAGAAAATAAGTGCTTGGGGTTAGGACATCTTCCTGTAAGCGTCATGTCAGGAAATATTCTGACTTATACATAAACCAAAGAATGAATGAATCTTTGCTTGCATTTATTAATTATTGTAGTAGTGGTATTTAATGTCTAAAAAACTGATATCCAAAATTGAAAGGGGTGGTGGTGGAATGGGGAGGAGGCTGCATAGTGTCAAATTAGCACTTGTCAGCCTAATAGATACTTTGCAAACGTCATCAATCAAAATATTTGATCTCTATTACTTTTAATAATCCTGTGCTTATGAGCTCCCTCTGATAGCCTGGCAATCAACCAGGCACGCCCCCTGCCATCACCACCATCAAGGCCACTTTCCCCCACACTCACTTTGGAATCTGCCGTGTTGACAGACCCGAAAGGCTTTTGGCTGCCTGTTGTGTGGCTCAAACCACACTGTCGCTGCTTAGCCAGGCTGAAGTCATTTTTCAGAATCTCCCAACCAGAAAACACAAAACCCCTTATTTCCCATCTAACACTGTACACTGAAGGTCAAGGCATGGCCACTGCAGATTGCTTTTGCAGATATGCACAGAAACAATAGCCCAGGCACCAACTTGTGCATAATTAACTCAAAACGTCTACACTGATCAACAATTATTCTTTAAATGATGCAGTCCATATAAGATCCAACTGATATGCCCAGACGCAATGCCTATCCATTGCCTTCAGAAAAAGCGAATTTTCCCCTTCAGCAACCCTTCATGGGACCCAAAGAAACGTTGGTATTTTGTTCACAGGAAGATCTTGTACTTTCACTTAAAACACTTAGTTGTGATGGTTACCCACTGATTAATTCTCTCCTTGGAGGGGAGGGGTTGGGGATAGGGGTAGCCAGCTAACCCTAACCTCACATAAGTGACTGGCAAAACTGCAAACATTTAAAAGAGTTAAAAATCAGTACTTGCTCCCTGGTCATTTCCATTTTATTTGCATATAAATGGGTTGGTAAAAGTGAATGGAATTTAATGATGCCTACAGAACTTTTTTTTTTTGAAAAGAGGAAAAACATTCTGAAACACGCCCCCCCCCCCAACTATTCACTGGAAAAAATGCACTTGGAATATCAATGTTTTCATTTCTTGTTCAAAACTAAAAGAGAACAAACAATGACCCAACAACATAAAAAAAAAGAAAAGATTCTGTTCTAGAAAACCCAGATGGCACACTTACAGGAGATAAGCTGTCCCAGCCTGTAACTTTGCCCCTTCCCAGAAGCAGTCCAAGGGCGTAATAATCAAACAGGGGTAAAGGTACTCTATTATCTGTCAAAAGTAAAAAGAACATGCCTTGCATTAGGTTAATGCATACTACTGCAGGGGAGTGGGGGTCTGTAGGGGGAGGTAGAGAAATTTTTAGGAATGCTTATAAACAGAAAGAAAATATACCTGATCCATGTAACCTGTTTCTGTGATGAGCTCTCCTGATTTATAGCACAAATGTTCCAATTTCCACTGTCTGTAAAAAGAAAAGCAGAGATTAAAAAAATTGCTTCAGTGTGGAAAATGAAAGAAATTGGTTGCACAATCAGAACTATAGAATATGTAGAAGAACTGCAATTTCTATCGCTTTTCAGCACCTGTCAAAACTTAGCAAAACTTTTGCCAAGAGAGACCCAGCAAGCTTGCTTTAATGAATAGATAATTCTGGATTGTAATGAACACGGGGGTGTTTATGTAAATGAGCGCTACAAAACTACTTGAAGTCTTGTTTTCTGAAGTGTGCTCTACAATAATCTTGTTTACGCCATTCATTTGCTTTTCTACATGCATGAAACAACTTTAGGGTAGCCCCGTTGAATGATCACAAACTCCAAATAAGTAAGAAAAGACTCAATTAGTGAAGTTTTAACTTACAAACGTATATTCAGGTGGGGAAATAGTATTGACTTTTTTTAAAAATGGCAACTGTATCTTTATTATCTACTTCCATAATACGTAGTGTTTTTCCTGTTTTCGCCAGAGGCCATAAAAGACACTAGCTAGGTCGACCAAATCCCCACAGTACAGTGACACTAGGATAGAGTCTTACTCTACTCTTGTCCTATAGACATGATAGTAATTGTACTGACCAATAATTAGCTCAGAGTTCTATTATTTCCAGAGCAATAGGATATATATCCTTGCCTTTCTGAATGAGTTGGGGGAGATAAACCTAGCTTGAAAACAGAGGGATTTGGAAGGGAATGGGGAAAGAGGGAAGCACAGAACAAACCCACAAATTCCCTCCAAACAGTTGCTCTGCTTTATTGATCTCTTAAGAGAAGTCTGTTTCCAAGCAAAGAACCCGTCTACACTGTGCTCCTTCCCTAGTCTTCCTCTCAAGACCCCTTAGGGTCCTGGCTTAAACACCACCTTCTTGCTAAGCTTTGTCTGACCAGCACTGCTGAAAAGGACCCCTTCTCTTGAACTCTACACAGTAGCTGGCTGGGGGGATGAGAGAATCGCAGGGTGGGGACTCATTGTGTTTGACTTTGTATCTGCCCACTCATACCAATGCCTTTCCTTTCTAACTAGACTGCCAGTTCTGTGAAGTTAGGGGCCAATTTACCCATCCATCCATCCATCCATCCATCTTTCCTCTCCAACTAGACTGCCAGTGCCTTGAAGTCATGGGCCAAGTTATCGATCCAGCCATCTATCCACCCACTCATCCATCCATCTTCCCCTCCCCTGGACTTCTTTCCATTCATTTACCTATCCGACTCTATGTGTTTTCACTAGACATAACATCAATAGGGAAAACGAACAGCACAATGGCTGCAAACGGCGTGCTGGGGGCAGGACCAGGTGCTATGTCCTTCTCCTGATCGGGGACCTTTGAGTCAGAACCAACTCCGAGTGGTAAGTTTCTTCAGACAGAGTCCCACTGGGAATAATAGAAACGCATACAGGAGACCCTTCTAGCCTCTTCACAGGTCCTATCGATGACAGTGCAGCGTTTTTGAAACTTCACCTAGATGCTTCCCTTAGAGTGCTCTCCAGACTTGGGGTGGGGAGAACAGAAGGCTGTGCTGGCAAGAGGTGGGGATCTGCCTTTCAGCCAAGATACCAGAAACATGAAATGTCTTCCTGATATTTTTCACAGCCCTTACCGATAAATCTGGTCAGGAATCACGTTGACAGTGACCTGTCTAGATGATGCCAGGGCCCTGGGGTCATACACTTCAGGCTGGAATGGGTCTTTGGCCCATCTAGGGGGACTCCTGGGGTACTGGTGACTAGGGCAGGGGCAAGCATCTTATTTTCCTTCTGTATTCCTGCCACTGTTTCTTTCTGCCCATTGACTGCGTCACAGCCACCCTTGCTCACCTCACAGGTTAAAACAAACAAACAAACAAACAAACAACAAAATTCTACTGCCAACTACCCAGAGGCACTTGTAACCCTGGGGGTGGGGCCCAGTGAGATAAGTGCCACCTGAGCGGTCTCCTGAAAAATGGGATTTAGTGATAACAGCCGCTCAATAATTCAGGGAGAGGATCCAAGTTACTCAGCCCAGGTAGCCAGTCTGCCAGTCAATAAAATGGCTACTTTGTTCTAAATGCTTAGCTATGACAATGAAGGATGCCGGAAACGGAAGTCCCTGCCCTGAAGTACTTGAGAGTTTAGATACATGACAACTGCCCCACAGGGCATCCATGGCTGCAATCTTTTCTGAAGCAGACGCCACATCTTTCCCTCGCAGAGCAGCTGGTGGGCTGAAACTGGCAACCTTTTTGTTAGGAGCTGAGCATGTACCCGCTGTGCCTCGTGTGACGGAAATCTCTTTAGAATGGTTGTGGAACTCACTTGGGCAAAGGTGCCAAGATGTTTGTTGAAAATACATTACAGAGAAATATACTTACTCTGTCAGAGGGGGAAAAGATAGAATTTTATTAGAAAACTATTTGAGCTAATATACCTGGCATGTTTCCAAGACAATCTTACCACCTTACACAGGGGGCCCTGCCTTACCTGTTATACATGTACACGTGGACTCGGCTGGCCTGGAGCGCGGAGTCCAGGTGTTGCTGGAGCGCTTCTGTGGTGAGGACATCAGCACCTTCTTCTCTCGGGGTCTGGATCATGAGTTGAGGATTAAACATGGCCTCTTCTCCAATCTTTTGGCGAGTATAATTTAATTCACGACTTACTCGTCCACCAACTGACAAACACATGTAGTTTTCAATTAGAAGGGCAAAGTTATTGCAAGTTTCCATTCTATCTGACGGCTCAGTAACAGCTTTGTGGTGCACAACGAAGGCGCCCTGGTCACAAAAATGAAGAGCCGATGACTCCCATACATAAAATCTAAGTAAGGTAACATTCACTTTAGTTAGGAAAAGACAGCTAATATCATCTAGTGTGTTCCAACTCACAGTGACCCTATGGGACACAGTCAAACTGCCAAGGACATGAGTCTTTACCAATGAAGGCTCCACATCTTCTCCTGAGGAGCAGCTGCCAACATTTTGGTTAGCAGCTAAGTACTCTAACCACTGTACCACTAGGGCTCCTAATGGAGTGCTTGGAGTGGTAAAAAGGCATGAGCTAGCGAACACTAAAAAGACATAGGGGAATTTTTAATGCACAGCATGAAAGTAGCCAATCCCCAAAGCTATATGCTGCACCATTCTACCTATGGGACATTCTGGAAAAGGCCAACCAATCAGGACAGGAAGGCACCTGGAGGGGGTGGGGGGGCTCAGGGGGTAGCGATGGTTAAGTATGGCTGCTAACCCCAAAGTGGGTTGTCTGAACCCAGACCTCAACAGCCACTCGGAGAAAGAAAAGACCCGGGTATCTGCTCGGCAAACATTTCCGCCGAGGACCCGGTGGGCAGCGGGGTTCCACTCTGGCACGTCGGGTTGCTAGGAGTCGGAATCAACTCGGCAGCTCACAACACACGGGCAATACAGGGACTGATGGTTTTTGGAGGTGCAGCAGATGAACAGGTGGGACACAGGGCATTTTCAGGGCAGGGAAACTTCCGTATGGTACTATAAAGTTGAACACAGACGTCATGCATTCATCCAAACCCATAGCACTTTACAACCCCATGAGTGAACCTTTTATGTAAACTCTGGGTTTTGGTTAGTAATAACATCAGGATTGCTTCATCAATTGTAACAAATGGACCATATGGATGCAAGATGTTAATAAGAATAGGAGAGAAAAAAATACTCACTATATCCATGAATGCCTGCTGGCCATTCAGCCACACACAAACCTAAAAGATGCGTGCTTTGTCCACATTATAACGAACATACCATATGGATAAAGGGGAAGGGAGAACTTGAGACACCTTTTCCTTGAATACCAGACCAAATATTCCTGCTACAATTTCTTTCGCTTGTATAAACAGTCGGCTCCTGTAGCACACTTCGAGATCAATGGCTTCAATTTACACTCTTCTAAATAATCTGGCAAAGGCAACAGACTTCTTACCTTCTCCCTCCAACAAGAAGCAAGAAAAGGTGGCAAATGTGTGGTTGGCGGTGTAAGGTGAATAATACGATTCAAGTCAGATCCCCAGGGCAACGCCCATGGACGGCAAACGAGATGCACTGGCCATGCCTCAGCGTGCCCTCGTGTGCAGTTGCAGAAGCTGGCTTTCGCAGAGGCACCAGGGAGCACCCAGAACACATATGGCCCTGCCTCTCTGTCACCCCAGAAACTCCCCAGGTGATGCTGAGCATATGGCCAACGCTGCTGTCTCAGGACCAAACTGGTTCCAACCACGTTGGCCAAAGCCAGTTATGCTAAAACCCAGCACAATCAGGCACAAGTGACCACACCATCAGAAACATCCCGACCCTGTTGCTGCGAACTTCTTCCCCACCCCCCACCCTTACTCCATTTTAAATCCTCAGGCTCAAGGTTATATTTCAATAATAGTATTGGACTAAGCCATGCTCAGAATGCTGTACCTGGCCGTGAAGGGCTGTGGGAAGGGGTGCATCTCTCCCAGGCGTGGTGCATGTGTTGGATGGGAGGGATGGTCACTATTCTGGAAGAATAAATGGCTGTGTGGGAGAGCCCCTAAGGGAAGCAGCAGCAAAACACGCAAGGTGAATCTTAGAAGCACACCTCCCTGCCCCCCACGAACATACTTGGGCACACACTCAGACTGCACATAACAAACATACTCCATACACACCCCACTGCATGTGTTCACACTCATACACCAGCACGTGTACCCCTCACCCGAAACAACGGCACATAAACCCTCCACGACAAGGAAGCAAGAGTGGATGGTTCCCCAAGTCCCTGTGGGTGGAGAAGTGGGCTTCCAGCTCGTTTGGAGAGAACTAGTCATGATCTCAGCTTTCCAGAAGAGGAATCCTTTCTCTTCAAGTTTAGTGTTCAAGGACATAAACCTTTGGTTGGGGCTAGTAAAGAAGAACTGGGAGCAGCAGGGTGTTTAGCCCTCTGGGCATATTTTATAAACAAGAGGCAAGCTAAAAGGCAAATAGTGCCCTCATTAGGACATTTTGCCAGATTCACCCTGGGTTGGCGGCCCAGGTTTGAGCGGATGAGCATGGGCACAGAGAAGAGGTTTAGTGCGGTGTGTGCGCGTGTCTGGAGGTAGGGGACGACGGGTGTCGCGAGCAGGTCACATGCTCATTGCTAATTAAAAGACTGGCAGTGCCTCCCAGGTGATCTACCAACAAGTGAGCCATTGAAACCCTTAGGAAGCACAGGTCTGAGACCTCTGACACATATTGGGGTACCATGAGTCAGGACCCATGGCAACTGGTTAACTGGGGTGAGAGAGAGAAGTGCTGGGAGAGGCCACTTATCATCTGGCTAATAAAAAAAGTGTTCGAATCCCCAGATCTACTGATATGGAGTCAATTCCAACTCAGAGTGTGTTGCAGACTGTAAACCTTTAGAGGCCTTTTCTCTGCAGCCCTCTCCATCTTGAAGCTGCCCAAGGGCAGTCTTGCTCCTTCACCAGAACCTCCTATTCCTCTCCCCGCCCCCAGTCTACAAGGTGGCAAACTGTGGCAGATTTTCAGCCAAGTCAAGAGGGAACGGAATCAAATTCAATCCACATTCTGTAGAGATGTAGAAACTGTCTTAAGCTAAGAAGCCAATTACATCCAGGCACCACTTTGGAAAAGCTGCCAAGCCCAAACAGCCTCTGCTCAAACGGTTCCCTTGTTTTAACCCTGGCTACACCACAACTGATGTCTCACATCTACAAATCATCTATGCTTCCAAACTGCCTCCTCAAGTATGGCATGAAAATATGAAGCAAAATCCAGACGTCATCAAGTTGACTCTGAGTCATGGCGCCCCTGTGTGTCGGAGAAGGGCTGTATGCCATAGTTTCCTATGCCCCTTGCTCCAGACACGGACCACCGGGCCTCTCTCCGGAGGCACCTCGGGTGACTGTGAATGGCCACCTTCCAGTTAGCAACCAAGGACATTCACTGTTGGCCCCACCTACGAAGTCCCACGAATGGCACCGCATTTCCTTCCACCTTTCTTGACACTTAAAAATTCAGGCGATTCAAATCCCTAAGATTAAAAACCCCACGGAGGACTATAGGCATCTCCTTAATTCCCTTTGAGACAGTGACTCAGGTGCTGGCCCTCAGGAACCACTCTGCGCAGACAGGCAGCCCCAGTGAGCAGAATCCTGCTCTCGAGGACTGTGAGCGCTTCTATAATGTAGCCTCTTACAGATTGTTAAGATACATATTTGAATAAACACACGCTCCTATAAAAGTGCCTATCTGTCCTGTCTCTGGAATTGAAAATACCTTGTTCTTCCATCTCTTGCTCTGGTGAAACATATGAGTATCTTGCTAATGTGGCAACCAGTTTCGACCAAGACCAGACTACCACCAACCTTCCTAATGCCGCGACCCTTTCATACAGTTCCTTATGTTGGGGTGACCCCCGCCAACCATAAAATTGTCATTGTTACTTCATAACTGAAATTTTGCTACTGTTATGAATCGGGTGACTCCTATGAAAGGGTCATTCGACCCCCATAGGGGTTGCGACCCACAGGTTGAGAACCTCTGGGTTAGGAGGAGCAACTAGGGTTTTAAAAGTGAATTCTTCTCAAACTTCTTCTACTCCCATGCTGTATCCTACATTCTAATATAGTTAGTCAATTGAACATCTCATTCTATATTTCTTTTAGGGTTAATGTCTTGGCAAGACTATTCAGTAGTATCTTATAAGTTTAATTGACATCTATCTTATTTGACAAATAGCCTTAGCATGATTCGATCATCAAGTGTGGTGCCTACTAGGTGCTGGGAGTCCCTGGGGGTGGGGGTAGGGTGCAAATGCTTAGTCAGTGTGGCTGCTAGCTCAGAAACTCCTTAGGAGAGATTCTTGACCAACTTTCAGAAAGTGAGCCACTGAAAACCCTATGCAGCACATTTCTGCTCTGACCCCCACAAGCCTGCGAGAGTCAGAGTTGACTCAATGACAACTGGTACTATGTGCTAAGCAACTGGGTAGGTTGTCGTGGATGAGACTGGTATGTTCTTTCTCAAAGGGGCAAAAAGAACAGGAAATAGAGAAGCAAACTTGTAAGATAATATCAAGGCATGACAAGAGCCAAGAGCCATGAGAGCAATCAGGGTGGCATGAGTCACTGGGTGTGGGACAAAGGCTACTTCAAACTTGGGTCCTTCTACAGGGTCCCTGTGCTATAAACTGCACTCATTCACAGGGCCTTACGTCAATATTCAACCAGGGTGCTTTGGAATAAGCTATTAGAAACAGGAACCCCTCTGGAGAAAGAAATTTGTGGATTCACCTGGCTTTTGTTATGCAAGGGAATGCCTGGCCTAAAACACAGCTGATTGCAGCTGGACAGCCCAAAGTTGTTCATGACCGCCCTATTCTCTTTGTCAAGAGAGGGTGCGAGGACTGGATTTACCCATCATGAGCTGCAGTGGGGGGTGGGGGTGGTGCTAGTTTTGAAGGCCATAGGCCTTCTTATATACCGAGAAATTAACATTCACACTCTCCTGCAAAGGAAAAGCAACTATTGAACAGAACCAAATCCGTCTTCACTTTTTCTTATCCAGATATAGGCCACCTGTCAATAGTTGCTATTACTAAGTGATGATCTTTAGATAACATTTACCTGCATCCCTTTTGTGGGTCTATCTCCAAATTTTTATGAACAAA